TTATGGTTTGGTGATGGGAGGTGCAAACAGAAGTACAGAAGCCCAGAAACTGTCTAAAGGTAAGCTTAGTCCTAATTTTCTCAATAACTTTTGTAATATGTTTTTTTTTTTGTAGTTTTTTTTTTTTATAAAAACATTGCCCCACATTAGGATTTCCTCCTGTGTCGTGGGTGCGTTTACAAACATACAATTCCACATACACATCACACCCAGACCTGGAACAACAATTTATGGATCACACAAAGAGTTGTTCCGTGCGGGAATCGAACCCGCGACACGTTGCGCGGCAGCCAGTTGCCCAGCCACCGCGCCAACCGTGCAGTCAATTGGGTTATTGACTTGGGCAAAAATAATAGTCACACTTTTATTTACGGGATTTACAATACCCTAATTACATTAAATAATTATTTTTTACTGCTAATTTTCATTAAATAGAATTATAGTTTATGAAGAAAAACATGAATTATACAAAATTTGATAAAATGAAGTGTTGAATTTATCTAGTAGTTGTTAGAAACCTAATTAACCCGTTGAATGTCGGTTTATAAGACACAATTGAAAATACATTGTGTCTCGCGTGGATCCACGTTTAAGACCATACGAAAGGTTAATAATGGCAGTTGTTATGAAATGTTGCATATTTTTTATTTAATTTTTGTTCTTATTATTTACATATTTCTTTGTCAGGTATCAACATATTAGTGGCAACACCTGGCCGATTATTGGATCATTTGCAAAACACACCCGACTTTTTGTACAAAAACCTTCAATGCCTTGTAATTGATGAAGCTGACAGGATATTGGAGATTGGTTTCGAAGAAGAAGTTAAACAGATCATTAGACTATTGCCAAGTAAGTAATAGAGACAATTAGCAGATAATGTTTTTTGTCTGATATCATTTTATGAAATAAGCCATCCAGTCCTCTCAACAACAATAAAGGAAATATCTTATATGTAACAAGTTCTCGTTTTAGACTTATTCCAGCTTTGTATGGTATATCAGTAGTGCTAGTAATAAAAACCCAAAAAAATATCAATAATATTGACAACTTGATAATACTCAAACTACTGACTATAATTTAATGTTCTTCTTGATAACAATAAAAAGTAATATTATATTGCTTACTCTATGGAATGTTTCTATTCTTTTCAGAACGTCGCCAAACAATGTTGTTCAGTGCTACGCAAACTAAGAAAACAGAATCTTTAACGGCATTAGCAGTGAAACAAGAGCCGGTGTATGTTGGAGTTGACGACAACAAAGAACAAGCTACTGTTGAATCTTTAGAACAAGGGTATGTATAATAAGTAAATAGTTTTTAATGCTCTATTTTGCACTCTCTCCTATACAAAAAAATCTAAGTATCTTCTTTTTATAAAAGAAATATAAGGAAGAAAATCAGTGTATCACACTACATAACAAAAATATATAAATTTGATAATCGAAATTAGTATCATCTCACTGGAAATGTTTTACAATAAGCTCAATCGAATGTTATCTACTATTTGTGTAACTCACAACATAACTATTTGCCGTATTTTTTCAAAATTGTATAATTGTGTTTTTTCTTTTACAGATACATAGTATGCCCTTCAGATAAACGAATGATGGTTCTATTTACATTCCTTAAAAAGAACAGAAAGAAGAAAGTAATGGTTTTTTTTTCAACATGTATGTCTGTGAAATATCATCATGAGCTCTTCAACTATATTGACTTACCTGTCATGTCTATACATGTAAGTACTTACTTGAATTATTGGCTTAAGTTAACCATAGAATTAAACAAAAATACATTAAGAATTGATCAAGTGTAAAGGTCTGTTTTACTGCAGTCAAAATGTATGTTCACTTAATTCATTACTATAATTACACATATTCAAGACATGTCATGTTATGCACCAGTTAAAATATGGAATCTTAAATGATGATACAGGCCCTTAATATTAACCATTTGTGTATTCTATAACCTAGCTAACCCAGTAAATAATCGAATTTAGCTAATATTGTTACGTGCCTGACGTCACGTTCCTGACTATGCGGGCTTGGGTTACGGGATTGGATGAAATGAAACACTAATACCGGTTTTCAGACTTTCTATTGCACTTAAGTTACAGCGTCCACGGAGTTAAGTTATCGGCGTTCCTCTCCAGCAGAGTCCGGCCGACTGACACAACTTTGCCGTTCACGCTGACTTAACTCACTTAACTGACTGCACTTCACTATTTCACTGCACTTCACTATTTCACTCACTTTTCTTCTTTCTCACTTCTTCCTTTTCTTCCGAATCGCTTTAGACTTAGAACTCAACTCCAGCGGTGAGCCGCAGTTCCGCTTATATACCCCCCGTCAGGTTCTGGAACATTCAATTTCGTTATTCTTTTTGATCGTCATGCCTCCAGAACCTTCCAATAATTTGGTTATTCGTTTTTATTTATTCTCCTTCTCGCTCTTTAATTTTTCATTTTTTTTCACACAAATAATTCCAGAAAGTTCGACAAAACTTCCATCAACTAAAAAACTTCATGTTTACGGCGGGACTCGAACTCGGGGTCTCTGTGTTGTAATCCACACGTCTTACCGATTACACCAACTCGTGTTGACAATTCACGACGAAATTTACAATCTCTAGGCAACGTTTGACAACCATCCATTGACGTCATGATGTCAAAGAGTTTGAACCACTTTTCCGTCACACTGCCCCCCTCTTAGATTCGCTCGTCCCGAGCATCGTTACTGCCGTAATACGTCGCCAACCTGTCTATATGGACAACTTTCAAAGGGCTCCTTGAAGTCTTCCGAATTCTGTAAGTAATGTCATTGATCTTCGTGACTATCTCATAAGGACCTTCCCAACTCGGTTGCAGCTTCGGAGATTTTCCCTTCCTTCTGACTGGATTATGAAGCCAGACCAATGACCCCTCTTCAAACCCAACAGCATTGGCTCGTCGATCATAGCGCGTCTTTGCGCGATCACTAGCTTGAAGACCGGCCTCCCTGATCTGCTCATAAATGTCCAACATTTTTGCCCTTAACTCGCTTATGTAGTCGCTAAACTCGGTGCGAGAGTCGCCAGGTGGACAGCCCGACACAAGATCTGCCGGTAATCTCAATTCCCTTCCAAAATTTGCAAATGCAGGCGTCTTTGCGGTACTTTCATGTACAGCAGTCCGATAAGCAAGCAAGAAGAGAGGTATGTAAGTGTCCCAATCTCTCTGATGGCTGTCAACCACCTTTGCTAAGTGTCGCTCCAATGTTTGGTTGAAACGTTCGACCATTCCATCTGACTGTGGATGATAAGGGGTCGTTCGAGTCTTATGGATTCCCAAAAGTTTACAAGTTTCCTGAAAAACTTGGGATTCAAAGTTCCGTCCTTGATCACTGTGCATTTCCAAGGGCACTCCGAATCGGGTGAATACCTCGTTTACCAACTTCGTGGCTACAGTTACTGCCTCTTGATTCGGTATGGCAAAGACATCGCTGGACCATTTCCAATAACTGATTCGGGCAATCGCTACGTTTTAGTGGTTATGGATTATTTTACAAAATGGCCACCGGTTTTCAGACTTTCTATTGCACTTAAGTTACAGCGTCCACGGAGTTAAGTTATCGGCGTTCCTCTCCAGCAGAGTCCGGCCGACTGACACAACTTTGCCGTTCACGCTGACTTAACTCACTTAACTGACTGCACTTCACTATTTCACTGCACTTCACTATTTCACTCACTTTTCTTCTTTCTCACTTCTTCCTTTTCTTCCGAATCGCTTTAGACTTAGAACTCAACTCCAGCGGTGAGCCGCAGTTCCGCTTATATACCCCCCGTCAGGTTCTGGAACATTCAATTTCGTTATTCTTTTTGATCGTCATGCCTCCAGAACCTTCCAATAATTTGGTTATTCGTTTTTATTTATTCTCCTTCTCGCTCTTTAATTTTTCATTTTTTTTCACACAAATAATTCCAGAAAGTTCGACAAAACTTCCATCAACTAAAAAACTTCATGTTTACGGCGGGACTCGAACTCGGGGTCTCTGTGTTGTAATCCACACGTCTTACCGATTACACCAACTCGTGTTGACAATTCACGACGAAATTTACAATCTCTAGGCAACGTTTGACAACCATCCATTGACGTCATGATGTCAAAGAGTTTGAACCACTTTTCCGTCACAATATATTTAATCCTATCAACACTTATTTTCCAGGGAAAACAACAGCAAACGAAACGTACTACGACTTTCTTCCAATTCTGTAATGCTGAATCTGGAATACTGTTATGTACCGACGTGGCTGCCAGAGGATTAGACATACCGGCCGTCGACTGGATCGTGCAGTACGATCCTCCAGATGATCCTAAGGTATATTTATTGCTCTATTTATATTTTAGAAAATTACGCAAAAATGACGAGTTCATGTACACATATTTACAAGATAGCCATGACTTTTAAGTGCAAATTAGAAATAATAAGTTGACTATATATCTCTCGTCATTGTACCGCAATCGCTAGGTAACCAACTGCTGCGCGACTTGTCGATGGGTGGGGTCAATTCTTTCATGGAACATCTCATTGATGATCCGTAAATTGTCGTAATAGGTGTGATATTTCAATATCAACAAGTTTATAAACTCAGGGCCAATCGATATTCATTTCTGTGGCTCTACTAATCTAAACAAAATTGTCTTATTACAGGAATACATTCATCGTGTTGGTAGAACGGCGCGAGGACTTGGCACGAGCGGCCACGCATTGTTGTTCCTCCGCCCCGAAGAGCTTGGCTTCCTCAGATATTTGAAGCAGTCCAGAGTTACACTCAACGAGTTTGAGTTTTCATGGAGCAAAGTTGCCGATATTCAATTACAGGTAAGTAACACAAATAATGTACTTACATTGAATAGATTTAAAAATATTTACAGTATCTATAATAAAGAATTTTCTATGCATAAAAAATTGATGATTGAAGACAAAGTAAAATTATTTATTTCAAATAGCCGATAAGCATTTTTGAAAATCAAAACAAAAAGCAAATATCGAAAAGTTCAACATTTTATGATGTCAGTCTGTCCGCTAGTGAAGCAAGCTATTAGCTTGTTCCAAAATATAGATTCCAATGGAGAAGAAGGAGCAAGAAACTCCGCGTGGTTACTATTTACTCAACTACGATTACGAGTACGAGTTATGATTTCAATCAATTTCAATTCATTTCTGTGACATCGTTTTCTATTGTTTCAGCTGGAAAAATTGATATCTAAAAACTATTTCCTGAACCAGTCCGCTAAGGAAGCATTCAAGAGCTATTTGAGAGCATACGATTCTCATCATTTGAAGACTATATTCGACATTGACACTATCGATTTAGCAAAGGTTTCCAAATCCTTCGGTTTTACTGTGCCACCTGCAGTTGAGCTGAAGGTGGCTAACAAAGGACCTCCTCAAAAGAGGAAAGGAGGTGGTGGATATGGATACTTCAAGTCATTGAATGCCCCATCAAACTTCAAACAAAAAGCGGATAAAACTAAAATATACAGACAAAAAGGCAATAACAGGAAAAGCGTAGGGTGAATTAATAAATAAATCGATTTTATTTATACATTTGTTTTATTGTAATAAATTACATAATCTAAAGTTGTCATCAACAATGTTGTAAACATTTATCACATTCCGATGCTCTATTTACAATAACCCTACTCGTATAACTATAGGTACACTTAGGTATATATCTAGACATTGCAACAATTTCTAATCTTGCAAGATTACAAATTGTTGATAAACCACTGTGAAGTACCTGTACCTTGATCTCTGGATGAGGTTTCTTCCATTCTCAAAAACGTGCGACTTCATTTTTTATTCGGTACTGGGAAGATACAGTTAAGAAAGCAATTATGTAATTTTCGTTTTATCTCATTAAAATGTTTTGGCGGTAATTTATCTAGAATGATATCACTTCGGGTGCACTGAGATAAATTTCCCACGTGTTCGTAAATATGTGTAATGCAATAAATTTTTGCCAGTACAATCTTACCATGCTACATATGTATTGTAGAAATATTTGGTTACCATGTACGAGTGTAACCGAGTAGATTGAAATTTTGTCTCACGTTTATTTTACGTGAATTTATGTGCAGTTAAAACAAGCATTCCTTTAAATTCTTCGAATTGTTTATCTACTGAATTAGGCTAGAAATGTATAGAGGTGAACTTCTATACATTTCTATAAGTACTACTTCTTTTTGGAAAGGATACAAAAATCCACATGAGGCTGTTCTTGAAACCCAAAAGCTTTCGCAGCTAGTTTTAAGTCCAAGGAGTTGATATCGAATATTTTCTTTAATGGATGCTTCTTATAACATCTTAGAAATGATAAATACGCCTTTCTTGCTGATGTCTTCATTACTCCATTATTCGCAATTAAATCTTCTAGCTATAAAGTACAGAAAATAAAATGAAAACTTAAATCTTATGGTCCATCTATACTAGGATAGCAAAGCGTTAATATAAAGTGTTACAGCCATTGGTTACAGCACATTCACTCTTATCGTTGTAAATTAAAGTACATAAGTATAGTTATGCAGATAAAAAAACGCTCAAAATTGTATTCGGCGGCATTCGAGCGACCAACACTGATTTATATTCGTGAAGGATATTCCTTCACGAATATAAATGCATGTGTATAAATGCACGTGCAGTGCATTGATCTATGGAGATAAGGTAGAATTTATTTTGTCAAGGTAGACTAAAGTGCAGATATAAATCATTTATTAGGCCCTTAGTAGATCCGAGACAGACTTTGTCTTTGGTATAAAAACTTTGAGAAAATCATTACCATTTTTTGAACTTCATTAGGGGGTTCACCAAAGGTGTATTTATCTAAAAACACCTTTTCCTTTTCCAAAAACTTGATAAAGGTTTCCTCTTCTGGTCTTAATAATATGACTGCACTTCCTTTATTATTGAGTCCTCTGGCGGTGCGACCAACTCTATGAATATATTCCTAAAAGATAAGATAATGGTGAAATAGTAAACAGGCCAAGCTAGGCTTGTAAGATAAAAAATGTAGGTATCGAAATAAATGTCAATCATTCTGAAGTGTGCAGTGACCCATGTTTACAATGTTGCGATTTCGTGTTCAACTGTTCGCTATCAGTCGCAGTTTTATTGTTATTGATAACTAAATAACACTAATATGTGCTGATAGAGCTCGATGCTTGTATAATAAAACAGGCTTCCAGTTAAAAAGCTATTTTTAGTTGTCTTATCATACAATATTGAAGAATGAAACCCCATTTGGCAAAAACGACATGATGAGGAAGTGGAATGGTGTTAAATTCCAGTACCTATTTTTTTTATGAGATAGGTCGGCATACGGATTATCTAATGGTGGCAGTAAGCAATCGGCGTCGACTATGGATACCCGCAGCACCAAAAGAATTACGAGTGTGTAAAAATTCATACGAAGGTCTTATATTGATTGGCAGGAATTTGAATGTCTTACGGCTAAATAATAACAAATACTTCGTTATTTGGAACATACCTTAGGATCTGAAGGTGGGTCATACTGCACAATCCAGTCAACACTGGGGATATCCAAACCACGTGCAGCAACGTCAGTACAAAACAAAACCCCGTTTTGCGCTTCAATAAAATTATGATACGCTTCTTTCCTCCTAGCTTGACTTTGCTGACCCTGAAATAAATAGCTAGTCTCACGCGATTTTACCCACTGTTCGGCTTCTACAGATCGCAGCGTGATGTTTTATAGCCTAAAGCCTTCCTCAATAAAAGGTCTATTAAACATAAAAATATTTTTTCAATTCGAACCAGTAGGTAGTTCCTGAGATTAGCGCGTTCAAACAAACAAACTCTTCAGTTTTATAATATTAACGTAGATTTATGGATTACAGTGTAAAATTGGGTAAGTCATACTGTTTACGAATTTGGAAATTATTGTTCTTTGTGGTTTTTGCACGGCTTTGTGTGTTATGACGTCATGTTATTTTTTGAGCATTTCTGAAAAAGTAGGCAAAAAATGGAGCAGTTTCTAAGATCAAATAAATTAATAAACTAACTAAGCTTATGCTAGAAACATACAATCGTTTCGAGATAGAACAACCTTGGGTCTCCTTGATTTCAAGGCTGGTGCAAAGTTAGTTTAATTATTCCTTAAAGGACTACCTACATCTTCGGAGATTAAAAGGTGAAGTAACGATGATTTACGTAACGTACTAATTAATAAGTATTTAATACTCACATGTATACTTAAAACCGAAGCTTTGCAATGTTCTTGGAAAAATTCGTGATGGAAATCCACAGATCTACATGACGAGAAGAATACCATAACTTTAAGTTTTTTACTTTTTTTTAGCATTTTGTATAACCATGCTATCCGTTTTTCCACTGGACAGATATAATACCTGCAATATCCAACCATCAACCATCTTTAACATCCGTCTAAAACCGGTGAGCAAGGGTAGCTCGCCGCCCGTTTTTAGTCAGCAAGAGTCTGACACTACCTAAGCCCGACCCGGGGCGGGAGAAGACATGTGATGATTTCCCCTCACAAAAAATAATAATAATGGGGCTCAACATGGACACTAGCCACCATTTGCATAATAGACATAGACATGTAGGTACACATCGATTCAACAGTTTAGAAGTAAAATCGGTACTTTTTTGATAAAAATAAGATGCGGCACCTAAAGATCGACGGCTAATATACAGCTTCGCTTTGGGCTATCAGTGAATATAAATAAACATAAAAATCCCACATGTTCCGCACATGTGAGTTTGTTATTTAGTAGCTACTCTACTATAAACTATAACAAAATTTGTGTTGTATGATAGGAATTTAAAATTTCAAGATTGAAGGTGGGTAGAGTTTTTAGGAAATTCATTTATGAGAAGCTTCAATGTCACAAATATAGAGTAGATTCAGACTTCTCACTAAGTTGATTTCTATTCAAATAAAATCGAACTTCTTTTTGCCGCGTTGGAATCGAACCTGTGATACATCGCGTAGCAGTCAGTCGCCTCAGCCACTTCGCTAATCGCGCAGTGAAATTTGGTACAGACATAATTTGGAACTCGAGAAATAACAGGATAGTTTTTAAACCAAAATCTGCAGGAAGTCACTATTCCACGCGAACAAAGTCGCGGACAAAATCTAGTTTAAATATATTTACCCCTGTTGCAATCCCGATACTGTAGATGTTTTGTTATCAGTTACCGATACTAAAACTGGATCGGTTCTCAATGCCAATCTAGCGAGATTCTTGACATTTTCGCCCATAGTAGCACTGAATAAGACTGTCTGTCGCTTTGCTGTGAAAATACAAATGCATTTGAGTAATAAAAACAATATAAGTTTGTACAACTTAAGCTATGAATTCAGGTAGGCGTTTGACCAGTTGCTCGTTTTTTTACTAATAAATAACTTTAGCTTGCTTCAAAAAAATGTTACCTTTGTGAGTTAATACTTTTTCAGTTTTATTCAGGTTGTATCACATCATGATTCAAAGTAGCATTAGGACAAGGTACCTACTGCTACTTTGAATCATGATGGTGTGTGGCATTAACTAGTTAATCAAAATGTGTTTCTTTTTTCTTAAAAAACGTTGCCCCACACTAAGATTTTCTCCTGTGTCGTGGGTGTGTTTACAAACATACAAATTGACATATACAACACACCTAGACCCGAAACAACAATTTGCGGATCACACAAAGTGTTGTTCCGTGCGGGAATCGAACCCGCGACACGTTGCACAGCAGCCAGTTGCCCAGCCCCTGCGCCAGCCGTGCAGTCAATTATAAGATGTCATGCAAATCTATGTATGTCTTATTATGAGTAAACAATTTAATTTTGGCTATGACTTTCAGAGAATACTAAGATTATTTTATGTCACTAAAAAAATTTGGTACATGAAATACAGTCTTACTTCCTTGGTGATAAGTTTTAAAATCCTTCAATTAATGAAATCTTTACATTACTAAGATTTAGTTACCTTTTAAATAAAAAAAGATACATTAAATATGTTCTTACTTACTTGGTAACAAATTAACAATACCAGTTATGTGCTTCTGAAAGCCTGCCTCCAAAAGTTTATCAGCCTCATCTAACACTAAACACTGTAGTTTATTACAGTTGAACTTTTCAGTACTTTGTAGATGGTCTAAAAGGCGACCTGGAGTTCCAACTATTATATTTGCACCTGTAACATATTTATTACATAAAATCATGCTTATTGAGATAAACAGAATGTCACTGTACTTCTTGGCCTTTACTTTTTATTTTTGTGTAATGAAACTTTTCTAATTTCTACTTCCACCCACTCCTGAAGAGGGAGTGTCAGACTTTTACTATCGAAAAAGCACTCTGTTCCGAGTCAGGGCTGCAGTACACTCACATCATCCATCTTTACCTTTTATTTAAGATACACATATATGTATCTGGTTAAAAGGAAGGACTTTTTTTATTTGCCAACTCAGCAGAGAATACAAAATGTGATGATGAATACTGAATATTTACTTTTAGTGAGCCAACAACACTGTTAATGAACCTGGGTATATTTTAATTAATACTCCTATAAATAACAACTTTAAATAAATTAGTACAACATAATGTATAGCAGAATAAATTTTAGTTTGTATATTATCTAAAATAAATAGAATCACTTACTTTTCTTCAATTTTATGATATCCTTAGCTCTTTTTTCACCTCCCACAATAAGACAATGTGATAAAGGAATGTTGATTAGAAGTTTCTTCAATACATCAGATGTTTGTAATGCTAATTCTCTTGTTGGTGATAAAATTATACATCCTGTACCTAGTCATAGAAAGTGGTAAACATTTAGGAAGCTTATATATAAGTATAGTTTTTTTTTCTAGTTGTAATAATAGTAATAGAATATAATAATAGTATTTGCAGAGAGAACTATGCACAAGTTTTTATAAAAATGCAAGTACATATAAGTAACACAAATACAGGGGCTAATAGTCTAAGCTTAGAATAACTACTGTCAAAGTTGCTAGGCTGTTAATTTATAGTGAATATTTATTAGTATTATACCATAAAATCCATTCTTACCTCCTTTGGAAGACCACCCTAATTTGAGCAAGTTATCAACAACTGGTATTAGGAATGCTAAAGTTTTTCCACTGCCTGTTTTAGCTGCACCAATAAGATCTTTCCCTTGCAGCAAATGTGGTAACGCTTCAGCTTGTATACGTGTTGGTTTCTTCAAACCCATGGTATTTAATGCTTTCAATATCCTGCTGTCCACTTTTCCTTCTAACATTGAAAAAGAAGATCGCGACACTATTTCATCTACATCCATATTTAGTTCGTAGTATCAGACCTCAGAATGTTTTATATATGGTCGAACATAAGATAAAACGAATATTTACTACAGTTTTCTGTCACAAATTACTTATGTTTTCTGACTAACCATCACAGAGTACATTTTTAGCTCACCATGTGTATTTGTTTACGTTTTCGGTTTGTGACAGTGAGTGACACTGACAGTTTAATCGATAAGAAAATGGACTGGATCGAATGTCAACGGGAAACGATTAATATATTCGATTACTAGTACCGCATTATTAAAACCATGTGATTTCAATGGAATAAGTGGAAGTTATTAATATTTCCTGTTGATTTTTATACAATAATATTTAAAAAAGATAACTTTTCCAATATATTTACTGAACGTATTGAATTCAGGGTTATGGATGCTGTATACCGAATCGAAATTTAAAATCTCAGTGCCTAGCTAGTGTTGTTAGTAGCAAGGTAAGTTTCCTACTTCCTGGCGCAACCGAAACGTTGGCCCGTTAAGCTTAGGACTCTGTTGGTTAGTTGACGTGGAGAAGGCTAATCAGAGCGGCGAACATGCACCAATTTCAAGGTACCTACCTATAGTGCCTATTTGAATAAAATTAGTTTAAAATACCGCCCAAAACTTTAAGGATGATGTATATGCTTACAATATTTGTAGGTAATAAATGACTATGCTGTAGCTGTGAGCTGCGGATTTTTTTTATAAGTTGAATCATCAGTTGATGATTCAATATCCTAGGTAGTTTTTAGCGAAAAATCATCGAACGATTTTTCCTATCCTGCCTGGATGGGGCGAAAAGGACCGTCAGACTAACTGACAAAAACTATCCTGTTCGTTCTGTTCTGGGCTGAAGTCACAATACATGGTCATGCAACTGCAACCTCGGTTGAGTTGAAAAAAGACACTTATGGAAGAGGTAAGTGTAGACATTGACATGCCTACAAGACATTAGATAGTAAAAAAATATGACCAATAAAACACGAGATAATATTAAAACAATAATTTTATTGATCACTCACAATGTTTTGTTCACTTTATTACAATTTATTATTCTACTCGAACTAAAACAGCCTTGCATTTGAGGAATGTGAGAGAAAATAAAGTAGGTATGATGGTGTATATTTCAGTCTTTACATCAAAACACTGATCTGATGAATAATCTTCCAAATAATAGCCACTTCCACTTAAACAAAAATAAATTTACAACTAGATACTCATCTACTTAATCATGATATTTTATTATTGATTTGCAGTACATTTATGTTATTATTCATTCTCATGTGTATTCTGAGTGTGATTTGAAATGTCCTTAAAGAAACATGATAATAGATGACTGATTTATATTTGTTACTTAGTGTTAAACACATCACATACAAGTGCGAAAATTAAAACACTAAAATTATTAAAGTTCATCATGTGATGAATGCTGTGCAGAAGGACTGGATTCATCACAGGCTGCAGGTGTGCTTAACTCCATTTTGTATTCACAGCGGAAAGGTTCTGTGACAGATAAGAGTTTTGTTTCCAAGCCACAACTGATATGTACTGTTGTCATTCGGCTAGGCCCGTTCCAGCAGGATACTCCATTAGTATATTTCATTATGGCATATTTATTCTGATCTCCACCAGCCCATTCACCCCAGTTTCCAAGCCCAACTTCTGCACCACCATTCTTGGATTTTTGTGTTACTTTTTGGAAAACACACAATTTGTATACATACTCCTTATCCTCATATTCCCAACATTCCCCATCTAGAGTGGCAAATTCTTGCTGTAAGCCATAGTCTTTCTCCAGATTTTGTTGAATTTTCCTAATATTAGCTTCTATTTCTCTAACAGTGCGTTCAGCATCTGTATGTTGGCGGCGAGCTTCAGTGGCCTCATCAACTAACTTTTGAGTTTCCTCATCATAAACATTTCCATGTTCCGCTTCAGCTTCAGCTTCTTGTTCTTCAGTATCATCTTGAGGAAGGTCTAAATCACTGGCTTCATCATCTTGTCCAGGATATTCAGTGTCAAGATCACCAGCTGCTTCATCAGCATCCTCTTGTTCTAGCTCTTCATGTTCTTCAACTGGCTTAAATAATCCATCCTTGACCATCAATAATGGTTTCAACAATGACCATGTTGTAGTTACAAAGGTTTCCTTGTCTACACTCTCATTCTCTCCAAAGAAATATGTAAGTTCTTCTGATTCAAGGTTACCATTATGATCTTTGTCAAAGACTTGGGCTGCAATTATTTCATCCATTGTCAACACATCATCATGATTAGTATCATATTTATTGAAGTGCTCTAATGCTTCTTTTATGGACTTTTGCTTCTCCTCCTCTGCTTTTCTTTGTTTTTCTTGCTCTTCAGCTTCTCTATAAACTTTCAGAGCTTCATTCTCTTTAGCTTCCAGCATATTTTTAAGGTTCTCTTTCTCATCCTTCAATTGCACAGCCTCAGCTTTGTCTTTTTCTAGTTGTTGCAACTGTTCTGCCATTTCATTTCGCTTAGCATTTCCTTTTTCTATAAGCTCTAACCTTAGATGACTACCTGCTTTGTACAGCTCAGCCATGCGTTGAGCTTCAGCTCTCGCCTCTCGGCCTAGTTCTTCACAAGAGTTCACACATGTTTCACCAGATGCGTACTCGTCGGTACCGTCACAACAGTCGCAAACACCATCGTTGACTCTAGAACTTGGTATGTTTAGCGGTCGATGACCGGCGTTTGTACAATGGAAAAAGCCATTCAGACAGGCTGAGGTACCGGGCTCATCACTGCCATCGAAACAATCGCAGTAGTCATCGTTCACATAGCTGAAAGGTATAGTAATTGTTCCGTCGAAACAGGTGAAATCTTTTGTCGGCGAATATAGCGGTGCTTTCGAAAGGGATACACCGCGGGGTCTCGGCACATCAGATTGAACGTAAGTGATAAAAGATCCAACTATAAAAAATACTGAATAAAACTGATTGATCCATGTAGGATAGATCATGATTAATTTAAAATTACTCTTTTATTGCAAAACACCGGTCACTTACTAAAGTAAAATTGCAATAGATAAATAGAGAACGTGTAGAAGAATGACATGACAGAGCTGACGTTAGCCGACCAATCAAATCTCGCCACAGCCTGCCATAAACAAAAAGTTTAAAGATAAAAAAGATGTACAACTGCTATGATTTTTAAATAAATCAATAAAATTGTAATTGATTATATTTTAGTTTACCACATAACATGATATCTTAGCTCTTATTCATTCCCAAGGAGAAACCAGGCACATTGGGACTTAGAAAGCTCATACTGCAATTTAAAAGTGATGACTGAAAAGACAGGATTTATGTATTATTACGATAACATCCTTCTGGACTACTTTTAATTTTTTGACTCAATCTATTAAGTTTTGTCTCTTGGTACTAGGGTTTTTTCTTAAAGTATATAAAATTAAAGTATATATTTTGTATATGGTACTCTAAGTTCTTTTTTGTTTTGATTTTGTTGTCTGTGTATTTTATTAATGTCAATCCTACGTTGGCTTAAAGGACTCGTATCCAGGCCATAAACTCCAAAAAAAAAAACAAATCAATCCTACGTCAATTGGATTGCGAACGTCAAAAACGCTTGGTAAATGGTAAAGTTTGGTTAGGTACCTATTGGCTAGGTATTGTTTGTGGAGTATATTTTTAGTAATAATACTTATTTCTCTAACAAATTGAATACTTTTTGTGTTGCTTATCAAGACCGAACGTATGGTGAAGATATCAATACTTTGCTTCAAAGAAAAATAGTTTAGCAACATGGAAACTATACTAGAACAGCAAAGAAGTTACCATGAAGAGAGGGAAAGGACGATGGACGCTATGGTCAAAGAAATACTTCATAAAAAGACTGGGGTATGTAAAACATTATCTTTTAATTACTGATACTATTGAAAAAAATATTGTTTTATAATACAATCTTGTATACAATTTTTGTTTGGATCTAATGGCTCTCTTCATAAATCATTAGTGAATAAGAAAATTATAGGTACTGCTTTGAACAAATAATTTAAAAATGCCTCATTTTCAGCACCGTGAAACCATAAATGCTGACCATCGATTAAAAAACCTGCATGATGTGAGTATTGAAATATTTTTATAACCCTCAATTTAATCAAAATTTAGCTAGAATTTTGTGTGATTTGAATGGAGGGTGATGTTATATGATTACTAATTATTTTTTATATAACTCAGTACTTTTAATGTTCTTATTACAGAGATATGTTGAGTCAACTATAAGGTTGAAGGAGTTGTATGAAGATAAGGATGGTCTTCGTAAAGAGGAAATAGCAGCACTGTCTGGTCCCAGCGAATTTAATGAGTTCTATGCAAGGCTCAAGCAAATCAAGGAGTTCCATAGAAAACATCCTAATGAGGTGATAATATGGACATTTTTACTAACATAACAAAGTTTTAAATTTGGAAATGCATAAAAGAGATTTCTATCATAATTTATTGTTCCCAATAAATAAAATAACACAATAGTTGTATATGTTGCGTCATTTCTTTTCGAAATGACACAACATATACAACTATTGTGTAGGTACTCTTGTTTATTCTCATTGATAAAACCTAAGATTTATGTTCAATTTTCAGATTTGTGTGCCTATGTCAGTGGAGTTTGAAGAGCTGGCAAAATTGCGAGAGAATCCAGCTGAAGATTTTACAAGTATGTGGTTTACTGAACACTGTATTTCTTCAAATGTAACATAATTGTTTAGTTTTTTGTATGTTTAGTTTTGTTCCATATTCATTATTATTTACTTTCATTTTAGCTCCTGTGGAATTCACTGATGAAGAAGGCTATGGAAAATATTTAGATTTGCATGAATGCTATGAGAAATACATCAATTTGAAAGGCATAGAAGTAAGTTTTTTACTCATAAATGTTTGAATAACATTAATCATCATACAAATTATTGTAAACTTTGTATTATACTAAACCTATTTCTTTTTTACAGAAAGTGGATTACATCACATATTTGAGCATCTTTGACCATCTCTTCGATATTCCCCGTGAGCGTAAGAACAGTGAATATAGAAACTATATCAGAGTTCTACTAACTTACTTGAAAGACTTTGTGAATAGAGTAAAACCTCTACAGGATCAAGCACAGGAGATGGCGGCTGCGCACCAGGAGTTCATTAAGCAATGGGAAGCTGGGACCTTTCCTGGATGGCCTGTAAGATCTTAAACTTTATACATATTTCGAAATATATCCATTTTTCGAAATGGTATTTCATGCGACATCGTGTCCCATGACTATGTTAAAAAAACAAGAGAGATAGAGCTGTTAAAATACGGTAGTTTCCAGCTAGTCAAATTCAATACTTTTATCCAAAAGTCAAAAACGATACTTTTCTATGAAATTTGTATGAAAAACTGAGCTATGACGTCATAACATTTTTGCGTCAAATAGCTTACTTATTTCACAATTATTAGCTAAAAACTTGGTGTATCGATCGATCGATGAATAAAAGTATAGTTATTTTTCAATATTTTATAGTATTGAAACATCAAATTAATTTATTTTTGACCTGGGAAACTACCCAATTCTAATAAGCTTTGATTTCGAATGACTTTATGTTTTCCCCAACAGAAAGAGACTGGTGGTGCCTTGACAAATGTGGGAGCTCATTTAGATCTATCAGCTTTCTCCTCATGGGAAGAACTTGCCTCACTTGGTTTGGACAGATTGAAGTCTGCTCTAATGGCTCTTGGTTTGAAATGTGGTGGTACTTTGGAAGAAAGGGCACAAAGGTCTGTAATTCATCTACCAGTTATCTATAGTGTTCTTGTATAATGTTTATATTTTAAAACTTACTAATTTAATATATTTGTTTTAGATTGTTCAGTACTAAAGGCCAGACTTCACTGGATAAGTCTTTAGTTGCAAAGAAGGGTGGCAACAAAGCAAAAGCGTCAACCCAACAGAGACATAAAGATATTGCTGCTATTGAAGCTCAAGTTTACAGGTATTTGTTTTAACAGTATTTTGTAAATTCCAAATCTATCTTTCTTATAATATTCAACTCAAAACTATATGTTACATTGAAATGGATGTATGGCTTATGGTTAGCGTGTGCTTTTTAAAAGGCGAAAAGACGCGTTGTTTATTACATATAAGCTTTTAAAGAGCTATTCTTGAAGATTTTTTAATTTTCTAGATTTGCCAACATCGTAAGTAGTACTAGAGCTGCTACTATTGAGAATGTGACTCGTCGTGCAGCTCGCGCGGCTGGGGAGCGTCGTGATGACAGTGGCGACGAGAGCGATGCCTCCGCTGCTCCCGATGTTGATTCCGATGATGATGAAGTGCCATACAATCCCAAGAACCTACCTCTTGGTTGGGATGGAAAGGTATGCTATATGCTAAAAATTGATAAGCAAATGCTTGTCGATACTTGTTTTATAATAAAATGAAGAAGGATGCCATTATGTAGCTTAGGTTACTTCAATTCCACTATGGTAATGTAATCAAAAACGAAAATGTATTAAATTCTAAATAGGTTGCTGGCCTATGTGATCATTAACATTTGACATTAATTTTGCAGCCTATCCCATACTGGCTCTACAAGTTGCATGGTCTGAACATCAGCTATACATGCGAGATTTGTGGTAACTACACATACAAAGGACCGAAAGCGTTCCAGCGACACTTCGCTGAGTGGCGTCACGCTCACGGAATGAGGTGTCTGGGTATACCAAACACTGCCCACTTTGCTAACGTCACGCAGATCGAAGATGCACTAGCATGTGAGTATCCTAAATTAACCTTGACTCTACTGTATGTATAAAAGTGAAAAAATGCTAATGATTATTTTACTACAATATACCTATTTATTGTCAGTCAGTGTTTAAAATATATTTATTCTTGTTTCAGTATGGGAGAAAATCAAACATCAAAAGGAAAATGAAAGATTCGTGGCTGAAAATGATGAGGAATTTGAAGATTCGCAAGGAAATGTCGTGAATCGTAAGACCTACGAAGATTTGAAGCGACAAGGACTACTATAATATGATTAATATAACATGTGTATTTTACTTCTATTTCTTAGATAATAAAATTAAACCAGATATAAAGTAATTACCTTTTCTTTATTTATATTTAATGGCTTAAGACTTGTGTTCCACAAAAATTAAAGCAAGGCAAACTAATAGAGAACGAAAGTAATCCTCGTAGTTATATTTACATACTCTCGCTATTATTAGGTACTAACCTCCTCGCAGTCGGGTAAACGGACGTGGCGAAACCACGTCTAATAAGAGTGATACAATTCATAGCTTTTGATAATGATGTCAATTCCTCTTTTTATTTTTTTTGTATTATTCGGAAATAAATGGTAACTCTGGAAAGTCATCTTGATCCTGATTTACAATCGATCTTTGATATGTAAGTAATGTAACGTTTTATTATACTACACTAAGTATCGGAGGGCTCAATAATTCATAAACATTTTGCGTTTACTGCTCAAGTCTAAGTAGTACACACCAAAACCTTTCCTGAATCTAATATTGTTTTCTAAACTTCGTGCAAATTCGTAGGTGTTCAAACCTTAATATGCGCCTTTTTATGATTATCTGTGCGACAGAAAACATCCAGCGAGTGACTTAGGCGTAAAAGACTTGTATCCAGGCCATAAACTAAAAAAAAAAACACCGAGTGACTTTGACAACTTGACATTTCACTATGACAGTTGAACAACAACAATCGCACGCGTGTTGTTTTGTGAGATAGCTTTAAAGAAAGAATGATAATTTCTCTGTGAAAAATTGTAATTAATCAGTGAAACTAAATAATAAATTGTTAGGGCTGTGTACAAAAATGACGGAGCTTTCGGGAAGTCGGATATTCACCGGCTCCAGGGTTTTAGGTTATGTCAGTACACATGTGCCATTTGTGGCTAGATTTATTAAAAGACGTGGAGAAACCCTGCTGTGTACAAGTGTGGGAAAGTGGTTTCATACATATGGATGTGATAAGTTCCGTTTACTGAGCGTCAGTGGTGAGCATCCAGGTCCA